TGTAGTCGGCATCATCAGTGAGCTTTGCCATTCTCCGCACCAAGCTACGAACTCGTCAAAGAAACAAGTGTCGTCAATCCTTCCACTAGCGTTGTGCGAAAAACGAGTTCTTAGCTTGGTGCGGAGAATGGCAAAGCTCATCAAGGACGCCGACTACGATGCCGGCGAAACGTTTGAGAATGTATCAAATCCACTGTCAAATGCTGGGAATCATGACAACTACTATGGCAAACGACTTCGGACTTGGTGCGTTCTACATAGCCGCCCTGACAACAAGACCAAGTTGCGACAACGAGGTAAACCCACTTAGGACTTGTTGAATCTTTTATGTCTATTTGAAGCAACTACTTTTATCATTGACTTGACTTAATCTCTATTTAATTTTTTTCCTCATTTCTTAGTACATTAAATATACTTCCCTAGCTTTATTGTGACTGCTTTCATAACAAAATTAGCATCTTAATCATATTTGGTCTTTTTATACATGATATTCCTTGTGGGCCGCTGATTTTGATGTGAATTGTTCCAATCTTATATATAGTATGTAACCGAAAAAATCCTAATGAATAGCCTCACATTATAAATAATTCTTGCGCCTGAATTTTCCAATTTTTTTAAATTTTTTTTCTCTAAACAGGAAATCACAGCGTCTATCGCCTTTCTGCTCCCTCAGCCCTAGAACGAGATGACTGGATACTTGGTTTGCGTGAGGTTATTCAAGAAAAAAGGCAACGGCGTCATGAACTTGCTCGGCAACAACAACAACAGTCCCGGGCGTCTGAACACACAAATACAGTTAATCACCGTGGTCTCACGGCTATTCCAATGACCGGAATTGGCGGCGTCGGCCAAGGTGGGGGTGTTGATAGCATTTCCCCATCGAAGCCATCAAATGGACGTCCCAGACTGGAACATCACAACGGGGATCTGTCTCGATCTGACCTAGCGGTCTGCTCATCAGCTTCCTCTCCTTCATTCTCAGCATTTTCAGTTTCTTCAACCAACGCTCCTCAAACTAATTGTTCTGTTGCTTCTCTTCATCTCTGCTCGAATTCTAATTCTGCTGCTCATCCAAAAGCTTCTGATTCAACGACTTTAAACGAATCTGCACCATTATTTCCTGACTCAAAGCCAATTGTATCTCAAGTATCCATTGTAAACGGAACCTCGGCTTCTAGTATGCATATTTAGCAGAAAAACTGTCATGCGCCCACTTTACTCATATTTTATCATTTAATTTAACTATTCACCCTTCTCCACTGATGCCTCCTGCATAAATTGCACCATCCCGGTATAGTGTTGCAATCCTTAGGTTTTCTATTTGAGTGTCGGGAATTTGCCACTTTGCAAAGGGATGCAATTTACTCTGTTCGTCATATATAGTCTTTTTAATGCCTTGGGTTAGATTATATTTGTTTTTAAATCACGATCTCCGATTCTATTTAAATGCAGTGTTAAATATTTATGTACCTTTTTATATCTGCCCACCTTGTTACGATGTCATTTGTTCCCATTTTCTATTATTGATCCGGGTCTCATGCGTCAGGTTCTTACTTTCCCATACATATTTTTAATTAAAATTTTTTCTCTATCTATTGTAAATCTTCATAGTAATTCTTTTTCACATACTGAAAGAGATATTATAGACCTGATGTCATCAGCTCTCCGCCTAGTAATTTATGGCCATATATGGCAAATTATAATTCTTCGTAGATTCCTTCATTCCACTGTCCCCTTGTAAATTTTCTTTTTTCTACATTCATATTTTGCTACGCAACTGTAACTAAATCCTCTTCATTTAGATATCGTCTCTTACATAATATATTGAGTCATATCGAATACAAAATTATTGACTATTTTCCCACTGTATATTTGGCGTAGAGTTAATCTGTTATAAAATTATACTTTCTATAAATACAAACATAGGACTTAATTTTCGTATATAAGTAGAGTTTTGAGACTACCAGTAAATCAGTTATATGAGATATATTCACCCTATTTCGTTTAAGGTGATGAAAGACTGGTAGTAGAATTTTTCCACAATGATATGAGTAGAGCTGACATTTCCTTTGAATTCTACATAGTATTGCTTTCCCAAAAGGTGTTCTCATCCAGGGTGGACTGCAGTTTCGACCCCGCATAGGTCTTATAAACACCTCCAGCGGGGGTTGAACCGTGACAGTGCAGCATGTGAGCTTGACACTGGATGAGAACAACTTTTGGGAAAGCAAGGCTATGCGAAATTCAATAGAAACATCTACTCATATCATTGTGGGAAAATTATACTACCAGTCATTCATCACCTTTAACGATATAGGGTGATTGCATTTCATATATTTGGACTTGTTTGAGCCTGCTCTGGCTACTGGAACTTTGACACTAAAAGTGATTGGGTTTCGATAAATTTCTTAAGATGGCATTATTGAAGATACCTTCATTTTTTATTAGAGTGCATCTTGAAGGGATTCTTAGTTCGATATCACTAGAAGTCAACAGCCGATTCTCGTACTGCAATCATTTACCTTTACTATGACGTTCAGGCTGACGCAATCCACGAGACATCTTCCCTCCTTTCAAGAGAAAACGAGCTAAGCTTTCGTCCATCATATTATGAACACAATTATGGTTGTAACTCATTCTTGTAAAAATCTCAAGTAAACATCAGTCTTATCTCGAAACTTTGACAAGAATGACTTCCAGCCTTGATGGTGTCTATCATGTGCTTGGCAAATCCTCACTTTCTATCTCCTTGTCCACTAAGTTAACGGATTCATAGGAATTATTGACTGAAATTGTTTACGTATCGGAAATTTGCTTTACCTGGTTACAAATAAATCGCTTTGTTTTATGCATCACGCTTCCCTTATTATCCACAATAATTCTAAGTGGCACTCCATCTTGATGTAATTTGGGCAGACCATATGCATTCGGAGGCCTAGCATCTCGTTGAAGAAGCGTGATCATGTTCCACTTTCCCAGGTCCCGTTTATTACACTGCTGCAGGCAACCACTTAGTCTAGACTTAAGGGTTTCCGAAGGGTCCCTACTGATTACCTTGTATGTAGTAGTGCCATCCAAAGCCTGCATCATTTTTTCTGCATATCTCAACCTATCCATCACTACCACTGCCCCTTCTTTGTCTGCCCTCAACATCATTTGGTCCTCATTTTCCAGTTTCCTTATGTTGTTTTTAACTCTTGTTCCTGGGTGTTATATCTACATGGCTATTGATTAAAGGAACGACCTGTAATTTAATATCACTCCTAGTCTTTTATGAGTTCCACCAGAATCTCATCCCTATTATCCTTACTGTTTGGCAAAGCAAAGTTAAAACCTTTCGGGAGAACTTTCTCCATGGCAAAGTCCAAGGCTATTTTGAAGAGATTTACCACTTTCTCCCAAACTATCCTTTGCTCAATACTGTCTCTCAGACTTATTTTGATTGGCCTTTGTTCTTATTCTTATACCCTAATTCCTAATTTTCTTATAATATCTGAATCTAACCTGTTGAAAAACAATATCATAAAACCTGTCTGTCATTGTAGAATCCTTTTCGTAAATCCATACATTTCAACATCGAGCAGAGCATGCTTCAACCTTTACATATAGCCACTCTAAGAATAATCACAATTGCCTCTAAACACTATTTT